CTCCCCCCCCCCCCCCCCACAGGGTGGTGGACAACGAGGGGACCCTGCAGCTGAAGAGGAGTTTCCAACCCCCCCAGGGCTCCCACCCTGTGCGCAGCATCTTCTGCCCCCTCATGTCCTTCCGCCAGGGGGCCTGTGTGGGTAAGAGGAGGGGAGAGCGGGATGGAGGCTGAAGCCCCTTCTGCGAGCTTCCAGATCCAGCAGGGCTCCCACCCTGTGCGCAGCATCTTCTGCCCCCTCATGTCCTTCCGCCAGGGGGCCTGTGTGGGTAAGAGGAGGGGAGAGCGGGATGGAGGCTGAAGCCCCTTCTGCTTGGTCCCTTCTTCTTCCCACAATCCCCTGGGACAGCCTGTGATTTGCCTTGTTTGCTGCTCAGCTCCCTCCCAGAATCCTCTGGGGGTGGGGGGTGACCAGTCATCTGGGTTCTGAGGCCGAGTCCCAGGCAACGTGGTGCTCCAGGCCTGCTCTTGACTCCACCTTGTGGGGGGGAGAGGCTGGGCCAGGCCCCTGGGGTCCTAAGCCCCGCCCCTGACTCCTCCCCTTTGCAGTGACAGGCAGCGAGGACATGTGCGTCTACTTCTTCGACGTGGAGCGGGCCAGCCGGGCCATCGTGAACAAGCTGCAGGGGCACAGCGCCGCCGTGCTGGGCATCAGCTTCAACTGCGACGAGAGCCTGCTGGCCTCCAGCGACGCCAAGGGCATGGTCATCGTCTGGCGCCGCGAGCAGAAATAGGCTCCGCCCCTGGCGGCCCGGACCGTACTCCTCTCCGTGGGCTGGGCCTTGTGGACACCCCCATCCCCACTGCTCCTCCGTGCTGGGCCAAGGGGCTGGCCCCTGACCCCTCCCCCCTTGTGTCTTCCCCCCAGGCAGCTGCCCCTTGGTGTGGGGCCTTCGCTGTGTAGCCTGCTTCCCCCTACAAGCCAGGCTTCCTGCTGGCTCTGGCAGTGTGCCTCTTTTCTGGCATGGGGTCACATCACTTCACTTCTCAGCGGGGATCCCCTGGGGGGGCTGGCCTAGGCTGCAGGCGGGCCGACCTACAGCCTTGCTTGAAGCTGGTGGCTCCAGCCAGACACCAGCCTGGGGCAGTTCTGGTTGTGTCCCCCAGGGCCTAGCCAGCATGGTACATGCAGAGGCAGCAGCTGAGTGACCAGGGTTCCCTTGCTCCCCAGGGGGACACTGCAGGCAGGTCCCTTTGGGGCTCACCTGCCATGGAGTTGAATGAAATGGGTGGGACATGAGCGCTCGCAGGGGGCCAAGCCATGGTAGGGGCTCCCTCCGCCGTCCGCAGTCTGACTCCATACCACCCAGGCCCAGCAAGAGTCCAGGCCGGTGGGGCTCCAAGGAGCCCATTTAACCCTCACCTTGCACAGAGTGCTGGCACTGGGCTACAGTCACCTCTGGGGTGGAGCAGCTGTCTGCACATCAGAGATGCAGCAACCTCTAGGGCAGGCCACCTGGGGCACAGCTGCCTAGCAAGCATTTGCTACTTCAGCCCAGGAAGCAAACCAAATTCCTCCAGGAGACAAGACTGCTGGGCTTCAGTCCAGAGGCTGGAGTTACAGCCCCAGTCCGGCGTACGCCCCCCACCCCAAAAAACCAGCCACCACCACCAGGTCCAGAATCAAACCATCTAATTGATTGCAGCCTGGGGCCCTCCCGCCTCTGCTGCTCCCCAACCCCGCATCCCACCCCACCCTCCCCATCAAAAACCCTGGTAGAAAAGTCCTTTTGTAAAACTGCCCCCACCTTGGTTTAAAAACACCCCCCCACCCATGACGCTGCTGTGGCCGCTCTGTACGCAATAGGCAGGGGCTCCCCAGGGGTGGGGCAGTGCCTGGGGGCGCCATCCCCCACCACCACCTGGGAAACAACTGATTAAAATCCATGAGGTCCATTCCTATAAATCCCCCTTAGCTGGAGAGGGGGAGCAGGGAAACAGGCCCCGCCCTGTAGAGTACAAGTAGGCAGGCAGGGCAAGTCCGAAGGAGGGCATAGTACGCAATAGGCAGGGGCTCCCCAGGGGTGGGGCAGTGCCTGGGGGCGCCATCCCCCACCACCACCTGGGAAACAACTGATTAAAATCCATGAGGTCCATTCCTATAAATCCCCCTTAGCTGGAGAGGGGGAGCAGGGAAACAGGCCCCGCCCTGTAGAGTACAAGTAGGCAGGCAGGGCAAGTCCGAAGGAGGGCATAAGCCCCCTCCTCCCGCACGGAGCCCTGCACAGTGGCGGCTATGGGTCCCAGGCCCCCGGCAGGGCGCGGGGGCTAGAAGAGGTACTTCCGGCAGGAGGCAGCCCCACACTTGCACTCAATCCGCATCCGCTTCTTGGGGGAGCCAGCCAGCCCGCCAGCCCGGCCCAGGTTGGAGTCCATCCGTGTGCTCTCTGCATCCACTGGGTCCACTGTGGAGAGGACAAAGGGCATCAGGGGGAGGAGCCCACCCTGGGCTAGCCCAAGCAGAGGATCCTGACTGCCCTGCAGGCACTCACCCTGCATGTTGTAGTCAAAGGTGAGCTCCTCCCCGGCCCGGATGTGCCGCGTGGCGAAGAGCGCAATGCGGGGCAGCCGCTCGTCTAGGTTGTCGATGAACACGTTGTACACCTGCAGGTTGGGGTCACACTGGGCCAGGGGACAGAGGGAGAGAGGGGGTAACCGGAGTGAGGCAAAGCTGCCGTAGCCCAGCCCCAGGTCGGTTGGTCACTTAAAACAAGGCAATTGGCAACTGAATGTCCTGTTTGCCCCAAATTGGGCCCTTGTCACTCCTCAGCAGGACAGGCTACATTCACACAGGTTTATTTAAGCAGTGATCTAGTAATTACGTTATTTATTAATGAGCGACCGGATTTCAGTTATTAATATTAATACATTTTCTTATTCTCATTTAGAAATATCAATAAATAGGACAATATGATGTATTAATATTGATTAATTATTAATATACAGCCTAGCTTTCAGCGTGGAAGGATTCGATTTTCATCAGTCACTACTGGTAAATATCAGTTGCACTGCACAGCTAGGCAAAGTAAGAAACATGCTGCTGGAAGGATATTTACTTGGTGTATCTTGAGGTGTTGTGTTGACAATTTGTGCTTTAATGTCTATAAAATTTTAATTTTTTGGAACTCAGTATCTTGTGTCATTAAATAATTCTAGCCTGGCCTCTCTTCCCCTTAGCTGACTGCCCCGCCCCCCGATAACATCCCACAACTGTGAAAATGTAAAGCTACAGAAATCAGGAAAAAATATTAAAAATAAACATCAATTTTGTCCATCAAAATTATAAAAATGAATTCTGCCAACCCTACCTACATAATTAGTATCTTAATACCGTGTGTTAGTGTAATTTGTTAATACATTAATACAACAACAAATTACACTAACAGTGTATTATTAGTTATAACATAGGTTATATATTTGGGTTTTTAAATTTTACTTTTTTTTAATCATGTTAGGATTTGGTGAATATGATATTATTTAGTTTTGGAGGTCTCAACTCACAACTTGTGTCAAGTTCAATTTGGATGGAAACCAACAAAAAATGCACAACAATTTTAAATTACTTCAGTAAAAACCACTTTAAACTGTGGAAATGCATAATAAGAAACAAAATTGAGTTTATCAAAACATGTTTTGCATTTAAAATGGAGCTATTGTTCATTAAATGACAACTACCCTAAAATATGTTTGCATAACATGGTTTTACACTGAAAACGGAATTATTTTTCATTATTTAAAGAAAACGTACCTTCAATGTGCTGGGTATAAGGGAAGGAAATAGTAAAGTTTACCAAAAAATGTTTGCATTTAAAACCGTTATTTTTAGTAAAAGGGACATGGTGGGTGAGGTAATATCTTTTATTGGACCAACTTCTGTTGGTGGGAGGGACAAGGTTTTGTTCTTCACAGAGGCTGTGTCTACACTGGCGCGATCTTGCACCAAAGCGGCCGCTCTTGCGCAAAAACTTGCTGCCTGTCTACACTGGCCATGTGTTCTTGCGCAAGTAAACTGACGTTCTACTGTATAAAATCAGGGTTTCTTGTGCAACAACTCTGATGCTCCCGCTCAGGAATAAGCCCTTTTGCGCAACTGTTCGTGCACAAGAGGCCAGTGTAGACAGGTAACATGAATTTCTTGCGCAAGAAAGCCTAATGGCTAAAATGGCCATCAGAGCTTTCCTGCGCAAGAGAGCGTCTACACTGGCACGGATGCTCTTGTGCAAAAGCACATCTCTTGCTCAAAAGCACATGCCAGTGTAGACGCTCTCTTCTGGAAGAGTTTTTGTACAAGAAGCTGCCAGTGTAGACGTAGCCAGAAAGTTTCTTCAGGTCTGGAGAAGGTAACCAGAAGTTATTTTTAATTCTTAATTTATTATTTAATTATTTCTAATTACTTCGATAAAACAACCTTAAAATACCCTGGAGGCATAAAAAGTAGTTTATCAAAATATGGTTTGCATTGAAAATAGTTATCTGTACTCAGTATAACAACATTTTCTGAATGTGCTAAATACAAAAGGAAATAGGAATATCAAAATGCAGTTTGAATTTAAAAGGGTTTTATTAAACCAAGGGAGCATTTTCTGTCATTAGTGAATGTGAACTGACTATTTCTAGCTTCAATGTCTTTCAGGATTTTAGATCTACAAGTTGATCCTCTCTAGTTCCACACTCTGATTGGACAACATCCGTGGTCCGGCATGATGGGAGTTAGCCAGATGTCCACTGATCGTGGGTGTGGCCAAGTTTCCGTGGTTCCATAAAGTTTGTGGACAGCCACCAGTCCTGGCCCTCAGTGTTCTGTGCTGTGATTTAGCTCTAATTTACCCCAAAATGTCTTCTAACAGCCCCATGAGCAGTGGCAGTCATGCTGCTGGCAATATTGACCTCCTGCGATTCAGCAAATTCTCTGGTTCGGCACCAGTCAGCTCTCGAGGATGCTGAACTAGAGAGGTTCAACCTGTAGTAGATCTCACTCTCCCCCACCAAGTTTTTATTCAGAGCCTGGGAAATGAAAACAAGCTTTCCTGCTTTGACCACTCCTCGTGGGTTTCTTATCTGGCAATGAACTTGCCACTGAACTGAACTAAGTAGATCAACTGAACCAAAGCAAATATTCTCCCTGCAAAAAGTGTGGGCCGAGCCACCAACTTCCACAGCTCAGCATTCTGCCTTTCTTTCCGACTGCCATAGCGGATACACTCAGCTGTACAGTTAAATGTGATTTCCCTCGATTTTCGTAAGTGATGGGCTTGGTACGTTGACTGTCAGTGTTTCAAACTTCATTTTAAATACTTTTTTTTAGAAAAACATTATTTTGATTGTATTTTAAAAAGGGGGGGGTATGTTTTGTTTCTTTTTCAGTCACTAATTTTTATTCACCCACCAGCTGCCCCCAGCCTCACCCTTCCCCATGGGCTCCCCCACTCCTCTCCGGAGCCTCCCCACTCACGCTGTGATTTACGAAGTGTGAAATGTTGCCATAGTACGCAGCATCCACTGTGTAAACATCCTCCACGTAGTCCAGATCAAAGAGGTAGGTAGCACCCTGGCGGTCATAGATCTGCCCTCGTCGCTCCGCCTCTTCTGATGTGATAATCTGGGAGGGGACAGGAGGGGTCATGATGGAAGGACAGCACTGGAGGACTTTGTGTGGCTGTTCCCAGATGCCCCACCCCAGAGGAAGTTGCATCTCAGTGCCAGGTGAGCCATCCCCTTAGAGCAATATGTGCAGCTCTTCCCCAGCTGTTCTGCCTCGGAGACGGCGACATTTCAGCACTAGGAAACCCATTCCTGTGTGGCCTGTGTGTGGCTGCTGTCCCACCCAAGCAGTGGCTGCATCGCAGTGCCAGGCAGGCCCCCGTTTCATGACATTGGGTGCGGCTGTCCCCTGGCTGCCCCACCCAATAGGTGGCTGCCTGGAGCTCCCTACCTCTCCCACGTACTCCATGACGAAGCTGTTCTTGCGGATCGTCTCCAGGGTGCGCACGCCCCAGCCACGCCCGTTGGCGGTGCGGAAGATGCACAGGTCGTAGCGGATGCCCCGCTGCACCACACGGTTGGAGCACTCTGCCCCGCAGCGGCACCGAGAGTTGCACTCGTAGATGGGCAGCCCCGCCCGGATGCGGACCTGGCCCAGCTCGTTGTAGGCGAACTTGTGGTGGGAGGCACCGGGGCAGCAGCAGCC